CTTCTCTCTCTCTCTCTCTCTCTCTCTCTCTCTCTTAACCCTACAACCCACCCCCCTACCACGCCTGTCGTCAACAAACCCCCATCCACGCTACCACAGCATCTCTCTCTCTCTCTCTCATATTGCACTTACTCATGTCAGAGACATTAAGCATTTCCCCTTCCATTACAAGTAGTTCCCTTCACAGACTTGTGCTTGCTCAGATTCCCTCCTAACAAAAGTTTGCAATACTCTCTCTCTCTCTCTGTCTCTCGCTCTCTCTGTGAAAAGATATCTTTTTTCTGCATTATAGCCTTCTACAATAGCCATGCAAATCTGCTATTAGATTTGGTCGTCTTTAGCTGGGAAGCAGGAAGTGTATATATTAATGCCTCACTAATACAGCCTGCTACGTACAAAAACCATGTAAATCCGCCATTATACATGGTCCTCTTCAGGCGGGAAACATCGAGTGTATGAGGGTAACATATCAAGACACAGAAAGACTTGAACCTGCATATAAGCACACTGATTGGTTTGTTCCATCCGCTGCCAGCAGCTGTGGGATGGTGACATGGTTCCCAGGGAGCTACTGCTTACCTAAGAGCCTAAGGCCTGTTGACAGAGCTACTATATGGCTATCAAGCTACTTCACTTCGAACAACAATGATATATATGAGATCACATGGCTTCGAAAGGGTCCATGGTACCCCTGACATGAGATGCATTGGCCTCCATGTTATTGTTTGTCCTTGCTGAGCTCAATGCATGCTCCATGGTTTTCACTTGGATCCTCTCAATGATCACCCGTTCGTGTACTGTCCCAAGTTAGAGAGAGAGAGAGAGAGAGAGAGAGAGAGAGAGAGGAAGATTAGGGTTTTCTTCTTGAACAAGGAAAGGTTGGGTGTGTGATTGATCTCTTGCTGGTATATGCCCAAAGACATTAATGAAAGAATTACCTGAGGCACAAAAGGAATGCTACTCTATTTTCTACTTGGAGAAAGGAACTCAGATGTGCAGTTCAGATCAGCAGATGATCTCACACATCTATCCTTCCTCAGCTTTCAATCATTAAGCAAACAAATGCAGAATCTCTTTGACAGATTCTGCTCGATGACGTATCACATTCCACCCTCTATCATTGCAGTAAATGCAATTTGTACCATTCTACCTGCTTGCTTCACCAACACTCATACAAATGGACAGCACATGCAAATGATACATAGCAAGCATTGTGTGCAGTGGAGACAGTGTTAAGTACTCTGCATTAACAACGATCCACACACAAACCTCTCCATATAGAAGTTGATATCATCGACTGCAGTTGCTCTGAATGGCAAGACAGAAGTGGGTCTCCTTCCGCTGTGTCATATCTTTTCTGCAGGTGTCATGTCATGGATGCAAGGCAAAGCAGAAGAACACAAGGGATACCAACCAACCTGTTTCGATTCACTCTCTCCTTTGTTCCAGTGGCTCTTGGGATTGGATCGAAATGATAGGAGTGTCATACGCTAATGCAGAAGCAGGGAAAAAGGAATTAGATCAAGAGATGCAAAAGCACACATTTGTCACAACCACACTAGTGTTGTTTCACAAAAAAGAAAAGCATAAAGCCAACTTATCATCATGTCTAAGACAGAGGGTTCAAAAGATTGACCTGGTGGCGCTGATGCTAGAAATGAGAGTATGAGTGCTGTTTCATCAATCGGATGATTCTAATCTTAGCCTGCTCCTGTGTATGTTACACAGATTTACTGGAAGGTAGGGGAAACATTGATGGCTGAGCTAGGAAACCAGGTTGCAGGATCCCAAGGGAGGGAGGAGGCAAGAGTTGCCATAGAAAGCTTGGGTTTGAGCAAACCCATAAGCTTGTTTGAGGGGACATGAGGCAGGATCTAAGGTTGTAGGAATGCAGGAATGAGTTCCAAGAGACAATAGTCTGGGACAGCAGCACAGGAAACAAGAACTAAACACCCCTTGCAGGAGGCAGAAGACAGCAGCAACAACTATTCTGAACACAAAAGTGGGTGGCCTTTTGCAGCATAGAAGGGTCTTCTACTTCATGATCACTCTCATATCCCCATAGAATTAGATCGTAGTTAGTGGTGGTAACTCAAACATGCTCGATAATGAAATAATGCAACCATGTCATGCAAGCATGCAGGCAACAATGAAATAATGTGAGTGTGGGTGAGTCATCTGTGAGCATAAAATATGCAAAAGAAACACACCACACCAGCACAATGCCTGTGACTTCCCCTCTCATGGCAGGAAACAATTCTATAACCCAAAGGGGGCAATCCATTGCAGGACTACAAGAAGCACTATGATCATCATACATTATAATAAAATAAAAAAATGTGAGGGAGATTATAATGGTGCAACAACCTTGGATATAGTTTATAAGCATAAGCAACACAGGGATAAGGAAGAGCCTCAAGGAAAAGGGATGTGGGGCTTTGCCTTGGGAAGGAAGAAGGGTACAAGGAGAGAGAGGGAGAGGGAGAGGGAGAGGGAGAGAGAGAGAGGAATGGTGAGGGTTATAACCATTTGTTTTGGCTCACAGCTTCCGAAATCCCATGCAACGTGCACCACCTCCACATTCTCCTCCTTCCAATAGACAGGAGCAGAAACTAGGGTTAGGGTTCCTAGCCAAGATGATATAGGAGTATATGCTAACCTATATTACCTGCACTGCACTTCCCCTCCCTCTTCTCCAACTCAGGTCTTACAATTAAGAACAAAAACCCTACTTAGATCCACAGACAACAGGAACGAGGGAGAGGGAAAGAGAGAGCTAATTGAGTAGGTTATGAGCACTTTGGTATGGTAGGGTTGTTGCACTAGTGCCAAGAAGAGACGGAGAAGAGGGACTTCTTCTGCCACCCCAAGAAGAAGGAATCCCTCACCATCTGCAGCTGATACCCTTCGGACGGGTAGTGCAGGCGGAGCAGGAGGCGGGCCTGCGACAGCGCGAAGGGGCTGAGGGGCAGATTGGTGAATCCGGCGCGCCGCATCAGAGCCTCCCACCACTCGAACCGCTCGTGCCGCTCCCTCCTCCCATCGCCCTCGCGGCTGACGACGTCCTCGATCTCTTTGCTGAGCCACACCTGCTCCACCGCCACCCGCTCCCGGCTGGTCGGTGGCAGCGTCGCCTCCAGCGACTCGAACACAGCCGTGTAGTAGTCCAATGCCTCCGTGAACCTCTGCAGGAAGATGGGCGAGTTGTGGCTTGCCTCCCTCTCGGCCACCGTCACCACCGCCGGGTTCATCGCTCGAACAGCTTGAAGAAATGCCCGTAGGTCATGGGAGCCGTCACTGCCGCCGCCATCTTTCAGTAGCTTGTGCAAGAACAGCACGCAGTTCACCGCGAGGATCTCGCCCGGGTGGATTTGGAAGGAAGAAGAGGTCAGGTCGGCACTGGTGCTAGAGAGAGGGTTGCTGGAGGTGGAGGGGAGGAGGAGGGGATGGAACTGAAAGTGTAGGTTCAAGGAATCGGCGAAGGTCTGAAGCCGATCGCCAGTGCGGCGGAGGACTTCGAGGTTGCTCCCGGTGCCGGTGACGCGAATGGAAGGGGGATCTTTGGGGTCGGAGCGCTCCGCTATAGCTTGGAGCAGGGGCGGCCATTGCAACCCATGGGAAGTGTCGAAATCGAGGATGTGGACCTGGCGGCGGCCATCGACCGCCTCAAGGATGGCCTGGTTGGCGGTAAGGTGCGCGAACCGGAGGAAGGGGGTGATCTGGTTGAAGGAGAGGTAGGACGACTGGAGGGCCTCCGGGGACGCAGCGTCGACGACTGGGGGGAGGAGACGCTCGACGCGGAGGGAGAGGGCGCGGGCGAATTGGTGGACGAGGCGGTCGGTGGAGTCGCCATAGGGAGAGGCAGTGGCCAAGAGGAGAGAGGCAGTGCGCTGCGCCGCGGGGAGGTCGCCGCGGTGGGCGAGCTCGGCGCAGCTGAGCAGGAGCTGGCGCGCGTGGGCGGAGGGAGAGATCTGGCCATGCTGGGGGTTGGGGTGGAGGGGATTGGAGTGGCGGTGGTGTTCTTGATCGCCCTCTTCATGGGACTTGAGTGAACTGAGCATATCTAAGGCCTCCTCAGCAGGCGGTGGGAGGAGGGGGAGGAGGAGCGGGAGGCGTGAGAGGTAGAGGAGAAGTACCTGATGGAGTGTGGAGGAGAGGAGAGCAGCGGCAGTGGCAGTAGCAGTTGCGGAGAGAGAGAGATTGGTGGGCTTGGCATCGCTCTGCTTTAAAAGGACATCTGCGAAGGCAGCAGCTTCCTTGACAGGACATGATCTGCAAAGAAAACACAGATGTGGGGAGTGATAGTTGTAGTAGTTTAGTGGTAGTAGTAATAGTAGTCGTAGGAGATAGATTGAAGTAGGGAGTGGCAGCTGCTCTGTGCTGTCTCACTGTTTCACCAAGCCCCATCTCTCTCTCTCTCTCTCTCTCTCTCTCTCTCTATAAGTGTGGGGTAATGTGGCAGGGGTGGGGGAAAGGTCATGCTCTTCTTGTCTTCTTTTACATGGACTTGGGCGGATTGAGATGGGGGCAGATTTGTTGTCAGCTTAGGAATGATGAAGGGATTAAATGAGGAGAGTAGGAATCTAAAACATTCTAAAGGTTGGGTGGGGGACTGCCACGATAAGGACTAAAATAAACAAGATGAAGGCACCAAAGAAGAGAGAGAGAGAGAGAGAGAGGGGTTGATGATGATGGGTGTGTGTGTGTGTGCATGGAAAGTAGGAGGTCTAACTTGAAGAGTCGAAGCACTAAAAGATGCTCTTAGATCATGAATGAGAACAAGGGGAGGGGGAGCATGCAGCATTCGCTAACAGTATCAAGAGTTCTTTCTCCCTCTATTATCTCTCTCTCTGTGTTTGTGATTTCTTGCGCCTCTCTCACTTATTGTGGATCTTGGACACGCAAAGCTTTTAATGGAGGAATAGATATCACACACAACCAACTCCAACCATCTCTTGTTTTGTCTCCTTGTGGGATCTCCATCGATGGCTGCCGCATAGCTTCTTTGCAGCCCCTCTCTTGCAGTCAGTACAATGTAAGACTGTTGCAACAAGCAATATCCTCCACATCTATCCATCTCCCTCCCTTGTAATCTAATCCTCTCTCTCTCTCTCTCTCTGCATGTGATGTGTGTGTGTGTGTTCGCATACACTAGCAGAAAGGGCACACCTAAAGGTCCATCCTTCATGACTGCTACTCCCAGTGAGTTCTCACATCACAAGCAAACCAAGGCGGCATCTTGGTACCAACTCATTAGCAAACAAATGGTATATTGCAGGCCCAAGAGAGAGAGATAGAGAGAGAGAGAGATCATATGACAAAATGGATGGAATGTTTCAGAATCAGACCCCCAGATAAGGCAATTCATCAACCTCTGCACATCATCATGAAGCCATCCTCTTAATCTTCACACTCATTAAGATGCCTCACTTGCCGCATGCAGACTCTCTTCCTTCTTCATCTTTTATCTTACCTGAATAATACGGCAAAGAAGATGAAAAAGGAGGAGGAAAAGATCTCTGTGAATCTAAATACTCTTAGAACAAAGAGGAGATAATTAAGGGCCCAGAAATAAAGAAGCAGAAGAAATCTTAATCTTACTGGTGGAAGCTGAAGAGCTCTCATCCCAACACAGAAAGAGAACCTGCAGCTCATCCCTTTGCCTTGAACTGCATCAGGAGAAGGAAGGGGAAAATGAGAAGCTAATGGGAACAAACAAATCCAAAGCAGAAAAAGAATACCCCATAAAACAAGCAAGCAAACAAACAAACACAACTTGTTCTTTGCTAAATTTTACCTCTGCTTGGGTGCACTGATCTGACATGCTTAAAAAGTCGACCTTTTCCTCTACTTTCGACTCTCTCTTTCTACAATATATAACCAGTACTCCTTCCTCACCCTACTTCCTCCAGCATCCATTCCTTCTCTCAGCTCCCCACACCTTTGCCCCCACCCATGCCAAAACCTCAGATCAGCAAAGGATATTGTGCCAAAGAATTATATAATAGTTCCAGAGAGAGAGAGAGAGAGAGAGAGAGAGAGAGAGAGAGAGG